GGGTGCCCCGGGAGCCGGGTGGAGCGGCTGCCGCCCGGGCCTCCCGGTCCCCGACGCGGCGGGCAGCCCCCGGGCTTCGGCGCCTGCCGCCTCTGAGGCCTCGGTTTTCCATCCTGTGAAGTGGGGCGAATCACTGTCGTACCCCTGTCTGCGTCTCAGGGTCCTGCTTGCTTTCAGGAATCTCTCGAGGGCTCGTGCGTGAACTTTTTACCCCATGTGCTGTTTCTGAACGTGGTTTAGAGATGCACTCTCAGCTAGTCTTGGTTCCAACATTGCCGTCCACTCCTAAGCTTGCCTTCTCTCTGCGAAGAGGAGACGGCAGCCGGGTTCGTGGAGCCGTGGGCTGGGAGTACGGCTTTAGCCTGGAGGACTTGGTGTGCAGAAAGCGAAGCCCTTGGCGGGAGGAGATCTCGAGGGACTGATTAGAGGAACAGAAACCTGCCCGTTCCTCTGCCGGCTGCTCTCTTCCGTCGGCCCTTGCCCCTGGCGGCGGGCTTGTTCCTGGAGATGGGACGGTTCCCGGCTGTTCTGCCCGCCAAGGCCTCCCTTTCTGCGTCTGGGGAGCGAATGATGCCCGAGGAAGTTTCTCAGATTTGTTAAGCTGCTTCTCCTGGCCAGACACATGTTTTTGTGTCCATCAAGTTGGTGTCAACTGGGTCACATGTCACTGAGGAGGTACCGGCCTCCGGAGCCACGTGGGCAGGAGCGGGATACCGAGGTCAGAGGGAAGGGGAAGTGCTTAGAGGGAAATCGAGCGACTGCTTTGCCGCCGACAACGTCTGCCAGCTCGGGGAAGGATTTTTTTTTAGTAGCTAGCCGACTAAGTCCACTTTTTCCTTCTCCGTCTTGCTTTGAAGCTTGGCATCAGCAGAGCTGGGTGGTGATGTGCAGACTGCATCGTTTGTTTTTAAGTCCATCAATAAACTTCAAGTAGAAGGACCGTTTCAGGCTCTCTCAAGGCTTTCCCCTAAGAATTTGAGATAAGGTTGGGCGGGCGTGTCCTCACTTCTCCAGGACTTTTCCTAGGCCAGGCCTTCTTTGGGAGGTGGCAGGGCCCCTTGAAAGTCAGAGAAGGTGGAGATTCATTTTCAGTAAAAATCTAGAAATACGAACTTGCCAGAAAGATCCTCACCACCTGTTAGGAAGGCAAACTTGGAGCGGAAAGTGACATTACCAATTATGTATTCTTGTGGACTGCCCTCCCCTCCCTCCCTCCCCATAACTTGTACATGTGAAGGCCCAAGCCCAGAGGCCTCATTGACTAGGGTAGGGAGCACTGGCTTGGTTTGCTTGTCCTTGAAACAACCATCTGCTTTCTAGCTGTGTGCTCTTGGGCAAGTTGCTTAACTTCTCTGGGCCTCCGTTTCCTGTCTAAACTAGGGGCAGTGATCACTGGCGATGATTTTTTTTTTTTTTTTTTATGAGGGAGATCAGCCCTGAGCTAACATCCGTGCTAATCCTCCTCTTTTTGCTGAGGAAGACCGCCTCTGAGCTAACATCTATTACCAATCCTCCTCCTTTTTTTCCCCAAAGCCCCAGTAGATAGTTGTATGTCATAGTTGCACATCCTTCTAGTTGCTGTATGTGGGTCGCGGCCTCAGCATGGCCAGAGAAGCGGTGCGTTGGCGTGCGCCCGGGATCCGAACCTGGCCACCAGTAGCGGAGTGCGAGCACTTAACCGCTAAGCCATGGGGCCGGCCCCACTGGCGATGATTTTAATCTCCTGTTCCTGTGCTGTGGATCCCATAAAAGAATACAAGTTGAGCATCACATACATAGTAATTGCTCTAACTCTGTTAGCTACCACTGTCATTACGATGATTGTCACTTCCCGCTCAGCCCTCGGAATTGCACTGCTCACATTTATTTTTATCACTTTGAATTGGGTGAGAGCCTAGTGGCTTTAAAGGTTGACTCACTTGCTGGGCTGTGTGGGCCAATGGCAGGGGTCCCAGGAAGCTGGATACCAGGCCTCCAGTTTCTAGTGGGAAAGTGTCCCTTCTCTTGCCCCTGAGTGGCCTTTCTTTGGCTTTAAGAGAGTAGCCAGAAAGAAAAATTGTCCCTGGGCGGGGGCCCGGACTCAGCCCCACACCTTCCAGGAGGCAGCTGGGTGAGCCCGGGCTGTGGGTGTCTTGCGGAAGGAGGGGACCTGGGGAAAGTGTCCCTGGACCTGAGATCTTTACCCTTCCCTCCTGCCACACGCCCCAGCATCTCAGGGCAGGGATGGGGGTGCACCAGGCAGCCCCCCCAGGGACGTAGCCTGCAGATAGCCACTGCACAGTGTATGGTCTTCCCGGGCTAGGGGCCCTTTCTGGACCAGGTGGCATTGCCCGCCCTATAGAACAGTCTGCTGCTGGCAGGAGGAGGTGACATTCTCATGAGGTCTCCCCAGTCGGTAGATTTGCACTGGCCTTTGACGCTCACTGGCGGTGTGTTCCTGGCACGTGGACACTCATTGGACAGTAAAAGTCGAGCCCCTCCATGTGCCCATCAGTGTTCTAGGAGCTGGGGATGGAGGGACGGGCAATGCAGGCCAGGTCTCCGCCCCCGGGGAGCTTACCTTTCTGGTCGTGGAGGGAAGAGGAACTATGAGTAAGAAAATAAACAGGGAAACACAGAGCCAGGAAGAAAATAAAACAGGAGTATGTGCTCCAGAGTGCTTGCTGGGGGTGGTGCTTGAGACCCAAGAAGGTGACATATGAGCTGAGACCTCAGTGATAGAGAGGAGCCAGCATGGGACCAGCCCGGTGGCGCAGTGGTTAAGTGCGCGTGCTCTGCTGCGGTGGCCCGGGGCTCGGATCCTGGGTGCGCACTAACGCACCGCTAGTCAAGCCATGATGTGGCGGTGTCCCATATAAAGCGGAGGAGGATGGGCACGGATGTTAGCCCAGGGCCAGTCTTTCTCAGCAAAAAGAGGAGGATTGGCATGGATGTTAGCTCAGGGCTGATCTTCCTCACAAAAAAAAAAAAGGAGCCAGCAGTGGAGGGTAGGGGTGGAGGTGAGGAGAGCATGCCAGTAGGGGGACGAGATGGTGCAAAGGTCCTGAGGCAGGAGGGGGCCTGGAGCATTCTAGGAATGAGAGCCAGTGTGGATAGAACATCCAGAGGGAGAAAGATAGGACTGGAGGAGCCAGATCCCGCAGGGCCCTGTAGGTCATGGGAGGTGCTCTGGATTTTATTTATTTTCTGTATGAGGAGGCTTGAAGCCTTCTGAATAAAGGGGTGACAAGATAGGATTTGTGTTTTTAAAGGCTCTTATAGACTGTAGAGGGAAGAGCAAAGCCAGGAGCCAATGATGAGGCTGGTGCAGGGGTCCAGGCACGAGGGGTGGCACCTCAGATGAGCAAGGTGTTGATGGAGATGGAGACAAGTGCTCAGCCTTCGGATCTGTTTTGGAGAATTACTGACGAGTCTGAACAACTAACCGGATACAGAGAATGAGGGAAACCCACATCATTATAGTTAATTTCCGCAGTCCTCACAAGTTCATTATTGAAGCCATGCTACAGATGAGGAGAGTGAGTTTTCTTTCCGTTTCCTTGGGAGGGAGGACCTCATCCATGAGGTAAACCATTTGGTGATAGGATCTGGCGTCTAAAGCAGAGGTTGGCACACCACGGCTGCCACCTGTTTTTGTATGGCCCATGAGCTAAGGATGATTTCTACATTTTTAAATGATTGGGGAAAAAAAATCAAAAGAAGGATATTTTGTGACATGAATATGTCATGACATGTGAAAATTATATGAAATTCAAAACTCAGTGTCTAGAAATAAAGTTTTATTGGCGCATGGCCACGCTCACTTGTTTAGCCATCATCCGTGGCTGCTTTCACACCACAATGGCAGAGCTGAGTAGTGGCAGTAGAGACCATCTGCCCACAAAGCCTAAAACACTGACTCTCTGGCTCTTTACAGAAGTTCATCAGCCCCTGATCTAAAGAATTGATTCAAACATTCTCCAAAAACAGCTGTTGGCTTTGAAGACAGGTGCAGCCATTGGTGCTTTTCTTGGCAGTTTCATTGCCAAGGAACAGATTTGCTGAGTGATTCCCTTGTTTCCTGTGCCCTGCTCTGTAAAGAAAGGGGTCTCAGGCTCAGCAAGATACTGTATAGATGCCATATAGATGTATGTGACTTATTCCTCTCTAGGGAACACCCTCAGAACTCTGCTTAACCTAGTCATCCACAAATGGAAAAAAAAAATGTTCCCTCTTAGATGTTATGGGAACTTGGCATCCTCTGTCACCCTTCCTGGAGACTGACAGTGGCAGTGCTGAGAAGCCTCCAACAGAGAAGTCAGTTTAACTGTTTCATTGATCTCCCATCTCCCCTTTCTGAGCTCAGCCTTTCAGCCCTCATCATTGCCTCCTCCCCCGCTCCTGGATGGAAGGGATGAGGCCTGTGGACTGCACCTTTAGGAGCAGAAAGCACCAGCGAGTGTGGAGCTTTTAAAGCCCTTTCCTGGTGGGAGGGGCCACAAGGGGCCAGCTCTCCTAGGGCCAAGAAAGCCCAGGCCAGGGTTTCCCGGAGAGTGCCCCCAGGACCACCTGCCTTGGAATCATCCAGAGGGTTAGCTCAAACAGCAGACTCTGGGGCCATCCCCAAAGACTCTGGGCAGTGGGGCCCAGGCACCTGCATTTAACTAGCTCCCCAGGTGAGCTGATGAAGAGTCGGATTCCCCCACGGTGCCCCCTTCCAAGAGCTCAAGGAGCCTGTGTGACGCCTTCCCCTCCATCCCTACCTGGTGCAGGTATCTGTTGAATGAATAGTAACAATAGCAGCTTTCACTTCTCAGCGCTTTTTGGGTGCTGGGCTGATCTCATCGATCTTTACAACAGTGCTACGAATCGGGTGCTCTCCTCATGCCCAGGTGACAGGTGGGGAAACTGAGGCCCAGAGGTGGTCAGTAACGTGTTCATGAATTAGGAGACAGGCCAGGGTTCATGTCGAGGTGGGTCTGACACCAGGCAGAGGGGCTGCAGGGACTCGAGCACCTGATCAGGGCCAGAGTTTGGACCCAATTAGGCAGCCCCTCTAGTGCTGGCAGGAAGGAGTTTGGGGAGGGTGGGGGGCTGGGAAGATGTCTTCTCCGTGTGCGTGGCCGGCACCAAGCTCCCCTCTGCCTGAGCCCCCGGCAGGGAAGCCCTGAGACCAGCTGCCCTTCCGCCCTCCCCAGGACCTGCAGCAGGCCCCTTCCGCCTGCCGCTGCCCTCTCTCCATAATGGCCTGGCTGTGGGGGAAGGTGGCTCCACCAGCCCGCGGGGCCCTGTGGCCCTCCCCCGCCCGCCTGCCCGCCCGCAGCCCCACGAACACGCCCAGGTGCAGACAGAGCCTGGTTTCCTTTGTGCTCAGCAGCCCAGAGCTCTGGCCACTGGACAGAGGCAGGGTCTGGAGGCACTGTCCTCGTTCCGGAGCCTTGTTAAAGGGCTCTGGGCAACGATGGGAGGCAGGGCCGCTTCCTACGTGCTTAGCATGCGCCAGGCGCTCGGCGAGCGCTGCCCTCGCCATCAGACTGGACTCCTGAGCAGCCCTGCCTGTGGGCCGCTGTCCTCCCATTTCACAGATGGGTCACACAGCTGGGAGGTGGCCGAGTTCAAGTCCTGCAGTGGCCCGTCCAGGGCTTGTTTCTCACCCGCCTTGTCCCCCGCTGACTTGGACACGTCTTGGGTTTGGCATCAAAGGGCAGAACCCAGACCCCCAAAGAGGGAGGTCCGGAAGGCCTGAAGAACGTGGGAATCACCCTGTGGTCCGGCCTGGGGCCTCCCTCGGGCTGCCCCGTGGGCTCCCCCTCCCCAGTTCTGCTGCTCCCCCCAGGCCTTGGGCAGGTGGTGTAACCTCTGTGGCCGGGGCTCGGGTCTCCCCATCTGAAAATCCGGGAGATGCCGTCTACTGATTGTGGGAAATAAAGGAGCCCCGTGCCGGGCTCCCTGAGTAGGCCGGCGCTAAGAGCACGGATCTCGGGGTCAGAGAGACCGGGTGCTGTGCACCCTTGGGCAGTGCACCCCACCCTGAGCCTCGCTTTGCTGGTCTGTGCACTGGGCATGGTGGCTCCTCCCCGACGGGGCTGCTGTGGGAGGTAATCACAGCGAAGCGCTCCGGGGGCCCCTGGGCAATGAGCGGAAGTTGTTTTTTCCTCCTCCTTGCTCTTGAAAATCCCACTCTTAGTCACACGCGACTGCGGGCAGGGCTCTCCAACTCAGACACCTCCAGGGCCAGGCAGGGGCTGTGAAGGTGTGGCGGCTGGAGCTTCTCCCCTTCACCACTCAGCATTTGTTCCACTGCCCTCACCTGCTCGGGAGCTGGGGACCCGGTGCACTAGTGCGCGGGGAGGTGGGGAGCACGGGGTGGGGGCGGGGGAGGGGGGCAGGAAACTCTGCCCACCCCTGCGGGCGGGGCTTAGTGAGAAGGGGCGGGGCTTAGCAAGAGGGCCGCCCCGCCTGGCCCAGCACCTGGGAGAGGGACCAAGACTCGAGCAGCCAGAACATCTGCCTCTGCCTGGTCAGGTGGGCCCCCTTCTGGGGTCAGCAGCGGCTGCTGGGCCTGCCTGTGGTCAGGGCCTGCTCCCAGCTGGCTGCCCCAGGCCCCAGAAGGGTGCTTTCCCTGTGATGAGCTCATTGCCTCCGGCAAGGGCCCAAAGGCCCCTGTGGCCACAAGCTGCTCAGGGGGCTTTGGGGACTGAAACACCTTCCCCGTGTCTGGCGCCCCGCTGGGAAAGATGCTCAGCCAAGAATCCAGGCCCAGATGGTGGGTGTGTGGGGAACTGGCACAGGCTGCCTGGGAGACAGCATCCCCCACGGCTTTCCTTGCCGGCAGTCAGCCGACTAGTCAAGCGCTCAGAACACCCAGGGTTCAGGCTCAGCCCTGCCACTTTCCTGCTGTGTGGCCTGGGGCGAGCTCCTTAACCTCTCTGAGCCTCAGCTCCTCATCTGGCAGACTGAACCCAAACCCAGATGTGATTGCTGCAAAGTTTAAAATGAAATAATGTAACGAAGGCGCTCAGCACAGCACCCAGCCTGCGGGAGCCTGCAGGAGAACTGTGCCATCTGTCTGCAGGCGAGGGCCAGAGCTCCCCCGCACAGGGTCCCCCGGACACCAGGGCTGGGAAGGAAGAAGGCAGGAGTCTCAGGTGCGGTGGGTGGAAGAGGTGCAGACCAGCCCTGTCCGTACCCCGTTCCCTGCAGTGGTGGGTGGTGTATCTGGCCACCAGCCTCGGCGTTTAATCAAGTTAGAGAAGAGCCCAAACATGTCCCGAGGGGCCGGGAGCTGTCCCTGGTTTCCTCTGCCTGTAGATTAATTCTTGTTTTTCCTTCTTTTTTTTTTCTCTTCTCCCCTCCCCTTCTTCTTCCCAAGGAAGAAAAAAAAAAGCCTTATTTATTATCATTTTCCCCACTGTTGGCATGGCAACACAGGCGTACGTTACTGAGCTGCAGGCAGCCCCGCAACCATCACAGCCGCCACAGGCCCAGCCCCAGCCGCCGCCGCCAGCAGCGGCGCCCCAGCCCCCCCAGCCGCCCGCCGCCACCGCCACCCCCCAGGCCCAGTATGTCAGCGAGCTGCAGAGCCCCCAGCCCCAGGCACAGCCACCAGGCAGCCAGAAGCAGTATGTGACGGAGCTCTCGGCCGCCCCCGCGCCCTCGCAGCCGGCCGGCGCGCCCACCCCATCCCCGGTGTCCCAGCAGTTCATCGTGGTCACCGTCTCCGGTAAGTGGACGTGCGCTTGGAGCCAGGGCGCTCTGTGAGCAACTCCAAGAGGAGTTTTGGGAGCCCAGCATCCTGGCTGTGGGAACGGTGATGCCCTCTCTGTACCTGTCGCCAGGTTCCCGGGCAGGACTCAGGGCGCATCTCTGGGGGAGGAGCAGTCAGGCCATGCAGAGAGGTCTCTGTGCCCCCAGACTCCTTCCCACTGGGGCAGCTCTGAGAGCTGTGTCTGTGTCCCCACACAAGTGTCACTTGAAGAAACGGATGGGCAGGGGAGTGACAGTTTGCAGACGGTGCTGGAGGTGGCGGTGAGTGCTCGGCCGCTGCTCTCCGGGCCTAGCCCCACCACTCTGCCTCAGTTTCCTCATCCATAAAGGGATCGGAAGGGCTTTGCAGGCTCAGGGATGCGTGTGAGGGGCTCACGGAGGCCGGCTGGAGGCCCGGAGGCATCCGCGCCCCTCCCCGGAGGTGCATCCCTTTTGTTCCTGGCAGGACTCAGGGGCCGAGCAGGGCTGTCACTGGGCAAGTTCCTGAGCGTGTGGCCCCTGTTTATCACTGTGGCTGCCCCTTGCGGCCATGGAGAAAATGACCAGGAAGCTCGGGTCCTGGCACCCGTGGTTCCTGCCTAGAGCACCTTCCCCACGCCCCGGTTCCTCCCAGGCCAGGGGCCCGGCTGAGCACAGGGAGCTGGGGTCAGGACAGGCGGTCACTCCCCTGGGGAGAAGGTGGGCCTCAGGCCAGGACTGGGTGTCATTGGCAGTTTCTGATGTGCTCTGTGTAGGGGAGGATGCGGCGAAACCCCTCATTGAGGCCGGCCCCAGGATCATGGGGCATGGTGGGAGGCGGTGGGAGGGCCAGGTCGAGACGGTTTAGGACCATAGGGCGACAGAGCATCGAAATGGCCCCGTAGGACCAGGGCAGATGCAGCTGGGGCCCTGGGGACAGGGTGCCATCACATGAGGAGAGGGACCCCCTCCTCCAGCCAGCCTCCCAGCTCCCGGGGTCCGTCTGTACCCACAGCTCTGCCTTCTCACCACTCGAAGGGTGCAGTAGCCCCCACCGGTCCTGGGCCGCCCCCTCCAGGCCTTGTTCCTGCCATCCCGGCCTCGTCGCTCGGTCCCTCCCTTGCAGATCTTCCCACCAGCTTGCAAAAATGAAACAGCCCCCACTTTAACCAGGCCCCCCTGGCCCTGCACCCCTTCAGCTGCTGCCCATGTCTTCTCTTCCCTTCAAGTTAGAATTCCTCAAAGGTCTTCTCCTCCCTCTGGCTCTGCTTCCTCGCCCGCGCTCTCTCCTCACTGCCCGCACCTTTCCTCCACAGCATCCCAGTCGGGGTCCCCCACGGCCCCCATCCTGTCCATGGCACTCTCGGTCCTCCTGTTCCTTGGTCTCTGGGCAGCGCCTGGCACGCTGCTCCCCCTCCTCCCAGAGAGGTCCTCCTGCCCTGGGCTCCACCACCTCCCTGCCACCCTTAGGGTCCCCCGTGCTGCTTCCTCCTCACCTCCCTGCCCTTGTCAGTGCCACCTCGTCAGGCCTGGGGCCTCCTCTCTGCCCTGGTGACTCTCCCTTCACAGTGGCCTTGTCCATTGTCTCGGCTCTTGATGCCACCTCTGCTGAAAAGGCCCCCAGTGAGGTCTGTACCCTGGGCCCCGGCCCCGTGCCCCGCCACCTCTGACCCGTCCCTGCAGTGGACCAGGCCTCTCAAGCCAGCGTGGCCAGACAGAACTCGGGATTTTTCCCCTCTTCAGGTCTGCCCTTCTTTGAGACTTCCTCTTCCTAGTAAATATCACCCCCAGGCCCCATCCTCCTGAACCCTGTCTCACCCGTCCTCCAGCCAGCGAGGCCTCTGGGCTCCACCTCCCAAATCCAGCCAGAACCCACCTGCTCTCCCGCCTCCACAGCTCTACCCCGGTCCAGCCTCCACGCTTGCCCTGCACAGTCCACCCCCCCCAGCAGCCAGAGGGCGACATGTGTCCCAGCTCAACCCAGATGGTTCCCATGCAGGTGGCCCGGGGGCACTCTCTGAGAAACCTCGGCCCCTCCCACAGGAAAGGGCTGTAAAAGCTCCACCCTCCCCGTGGAGGCCCCTGCTGACAAGTGCCCACCCCCGACTCTGGCCTGCAAGGCCTGCTGGCCGCCCAGCCTCCCCGGGCCCCACGCCCCCCTCAGACACCTGCCCCAGCCCCACTGGCCCTCCTGCAGCTCGCACACCTGCTAGGCTCAGTCTGAACCCCGGGCCTTTCCCTCGCCGGGCCCTGCGCCTGGAGCACTCTACTCCCAGACCTCATCCCTCGTGTTCTCCGGGTCCCCACTCTGACGCCTCCTCCCTGACGCCCACACCTCCTCACCCCACTGCTCACCCCAGCCTCCTTACTCTGCTTCATGTTTCTTCTCGACACTCGTCACCCCCGAATGCTGCTGCTGCTGTCCATCCCCATTATCCGTGAGGGCAGGGCCCCGTCCCCTGAGTCTTTGGAAAGACCGGTGAACGCCCACTTGAGTGCTGGCCTGACCCAGCGCAGCCCTCACGTCCCGTCAGCCCCTGGGAGGCCGAGGGCAGGCCGGAGGCCTCACCTGTCACCACTGGAGGGCTGTGCTCAGCCTCCAGGGCATCTGATGGCCCTGGGTCTCCTGGGTGCTGGCTTTTGCTGCTTTGGGGGTCCAGGGTCCCCAGAGCAAGGGTCTGGAATGGTCACACAGAACATCCCAGGTCGCAGCCTGCCTCCTCTGTTCCCCTTGGCTTCTCCAGCTCCTCCCAGTGCTCCCCCAGGGAGGCCCTGGTGCTCAGAGGTCAAGGCCTCTGTCCCTCCTCTCTTGGCCCCTCCGGTGCTGTGGGCTCTCCGCGTGGACGGGTTGGGTGGACGGGTTGTTGCCGTGACCCTGGGCCTCCCTTCTTCGGCCGGGTGGAGGCTTCACTGTCTTCCGCGGTGGTCCTGGGGGCTTCATTTCCCTACTGCTCGGGTTCTGGCGGGGCGGGCCTGTCCCCGACGGGTTACTAGGCCACGCTTCCTCGATTTGTTCTGAGGAAGAGGAGGTTGGTGTGCGCCTGGCTGCCTCTGCTGCTCCATCGACCCTCCCCCCCCCGCCTTGCAGTGATTTCCTGGGGTTCCTCCCTGATCCCTCCCAGGTTAGTGTCCCTTTCATCTAAGGCTGACCTTTGGGCCACGTGAGCCAGTGGGGGAGTGGGTAATTGACACCAGTGAGGCTGCAGCAAGGCGCCTGGGGCTCTGCCAGAGCCAGGAGCAATCTGAGCTGACCGGGACCCAGGGAGTCACAGGAGGAGGAGGGAGGGGCCCTGGACCCAGACCTGGAGCACAGGCGGGCAGCCAGCCGGGAGCGCACCAGAAGGCGCTCATCTAGGCCGCTCCCCGCGGGCTCTGGCCTAAGGTGACTTTGGAGGTGATGGGAAGGAAGCTCAAGTTTCCCTGCTGCAGAACAATCCTCTGGATCTATAATTCCCCGTCCTCAGAGGCCACCAGAGTCGCCCGAAACTCGAGGTGGCAGGAGGGCACTGGCCCTGGCAGCCATCTGGGTTGACAAGGGCCGCGTCCAGCCTCTCTTCCCTGCTTCTCTCACTTGGAGTCCTTAGGAGCCTAAGGATGCTCGCGTCCGGGAGAGGGACGTGGAGGGGGCTTGTAGCATCTCCAGCAAGACAGGGAAACCGAGGTTGGGGTGGACAAGGGACCCAAGGACCCTGGGGGCAGCAGGGGCCCAGAGCCCCCCCGCCCCCCAGAGAGCCCCTGACTGAAACCATCCCCGGGAGCAAATGATCAGGAGGGAGAGGGCCAGCTGGCCATCCGTTGTCCTTGGGGACAGGGCCCCGGCTCGGAGCCGGGCCTCAGGCTTCCCCCACATGCTCATGGCATCTGAGGCAAGAGTGGGTCTCGATGGGGAAGTGCGGGGCCTGGGGAGGAAGAGCCGCTCATCAGATGGAGGGACAGGAAATCAGCTGCCACTTCCTGACTAGAGACTCGAGACAGCGGGGCCCTCCCAGGTCGCATGCCCGTGCCCAGGGTGGAATGGCAGACGCAGGCACTCACAGACTCAGGGTCCCCCCACACACGGCTAGGGCAGGTGGCAGGGGCCCGCCGTGGCCACAGGCAGACGGGGGCACACACACAGGAAGCCCCTCATCTGAAGAGTAGGCTCTGGCACCTCACCTCCTCACGGTGTGGCCCTCCGGCCTGGCAAGCATGGAGTCCCAGCCGTAGGGCCACCCCAGAGGCCGGAGATGGGCAAGGCTGCTTCCAGGGGCTTCCCCATCCCAGGCAGATGCCTGATCCCAGAGGGCCCCAGGCCTCCAGCTGCTGACGGTCCATTCCAGGATCAGCCTGGGCGTTCTCCTCGGGGCCCCCAGGCCTACGAGTCTCACTGCCCACCCTGAGGCAGCAGAGCTGCCGCAGGCCTCCGCTGTAAGGCACCGTTCCTGGGCTAGGCCTGGCTCCCTGCGCCCCAGTATACGCAGGTGTGGGGCCCCACACGTAACTCAGGGCTTTCTCAGGTTTCTCTGGGGCCCACTCAGCGAGAGCCTCCTCCCTCATGGCTCAGGGAAGCCTAAGTGGATGCGAGGGAAGATTCCTGCAAAGCATAGGGATCGGTGCCTCCTGGACTTGACTGCAGAGGCAGCTGGCCGAGCAGGCCTGGGGTTGTCCCAGTGCCTGCCCCACATGTGGCCAACGAGAGTCTCCCCCAACACTGCCCCCCCCCAACACATACACATTCGTGTGCTCTGCCCCACCCTGGGCTCTTGAGGCCCTCGCTTCTACCTGGGACGGCCTTTCTGCCCTGGCCTATCCCCACACAGCTGAGGCCAGCTCCCCCCTCCCAGGCTGAGCCCCACCCTGGGATGCTCTGGACCTTGTGGTGTCCCCATAGGGCCCCCGCTCACTGTCCTCCTGGACCCCCATGCCTGAGTCTGCATGCCACTGCCCTTGGGGCCTCAGCCCAGCATGACCCTTGACTCAGGGTTCCATGCACAGTGTGAGGTTCATGTGGGCACAGTCGTGGGCCATGTCCTGGCCAGTTCCCAGCTGGGTGACCTTGGGCAAGCCACTTCCCCTCTCCCAGTCTTGGTTGCCTTGTCTGAGAAGGGGGTGAGGAAAGTCATTTCCCTCTCCAGCTTCCCAGGAAGGCCCTAGTGCAGCACCTGGGGCACCAGAAGCACTGACGTGACCCCTGTTACTCTTGCCCACTGCCCTCCAGTCTGGCCCGGGCCCTGGGAGGTGGGACTGGGCCCTCGGCTCCTCTGGCAGCACGCCCCACCAGGCCTCTGGATCTGCGGGGAGCGAGCCAGGCCACACGGTGTGGGCAGGATGGGTGGTATCCCGGCTGGGGTGAGGGTTTCCCAGCCAGCACCTCGCGGGGACACTCGCCCTCCGTGCCCCTCCTCCCCGCCAGCTCCCCTGTGAATCACTCAGCGAGATGTGCATGCAACTTGACCTGCACCCGCCCGATAGCATCTCCGGGTACCAGCCTCCTTCCTGACCCTGCAGTGTGGCCCCAGCCCCGGGGAAGGCCCCGGGCCGCGCCCACTGGGAGGGGGTGTGTATTCCAAGAGGGCAGCCGGGAGCTCTGCCTCCACTGGGGGGATTAGCTGCCCAAGGTTGCGAGTATAAAGCCGCCTGCGCACCCTGCTGTTCCCACTGCAGTGGGCAAGGAGCAGAGTGCAGACGGCTCCCTGGACGGATGGGGGGCAGGGGCGGGCAGGGGCAGGGGGGCACCATGCTCTATGATTGCTTCTTCTTGGCTGCCTGTCAGCGTGAGTACCCACCCGCCCAGCCACAAGCCCCCTGCCGCCCCCAGTCCACGAGGACAGGGAGGCTGCACGGTGGAGAGGGAGGGGCGCCGGGCCACAGGCCAGCAGGGCCTCCTGGGGCCATTCCCCTGACCAGCGTCCCTTCCTACGGAGCCAGGGGTTGCACGGGGCAGGTGGCCCCAGTGCTTGGTCCTTCCAGGGCTGCTGGAACCCTGGCTGGGGGTCAGTCACTGCCTGTCCACAAGGTCCGTGTGTTGGGAGAAGGGGCTGGTCCCTCTGGGCCTCCGCTGCCTCATGGCTTCTCAGTCACCCCTTCTGGTCTGACTGTGGGGTCAGGAAGGTGGGGATGGGGTGGGGCTGCTTCTGGATGGTAAGGATTATAGGTCCCGCCCCCCCACCCACCCAGTGGGCAGTGTTGGGGCTGGCCGGGAGGCGGGCAGGACTCTTGGAGAGGCCTGGCCTCATTGGGTTGACCTTGGGCTGTGTGACCCCATCCCAATGGGCTGGGGCTCAGAGTGGGGGCGGGGGCAGCAGGCAGAGCTGACCCAGTGACCCCTCCTCACAGAAGGCACCATGCGGGCCAGTGAGACTGTGTCAGAGGCCAGCCCGGGCTCCACGGCCAGCCAGACTGGAGTCCCCACTCAGGTGGTTCAGCAGGTGCAGGGCACCCAGCAGGTAGGACACACCCTCCCCCTGGGCAGATGGAGCAGGCATGCGAGGGGGGCGGTGGGGGCTGTGGCCATGGGTACCTCACCTCCCCTCCCACAGCCAGAACCATCTGCTCACCTGTTCTTATCAAGATGCTCACTGCTGCCGCCCCTCCACCCGCCCAGGCCTCCCTGGGGAAGCTGGCGTGGCTCAGGTCCTTACTTCTTCCCCCGCAGCGACTGCTGGTCCAGACGAGCGTGCAGGGCAAGCCGGGCCACGGGTCACCCCTCCAGCTCGCCAACATCCCGGTGCCCCCACAGGTAAGGCTCCGGCACCCAGCCCTGCCCCAACAGCCTCCCCCGGGGTGCATGCTCGGATCTGCCCTCACCGGCATCAGGGACAGAGACCCCATCCAGGGCCCCCCTTCTGACTCTGAGCAGCCGCCTCCACCCAGTGATGGCCCCTTGGGGAAGGAGGAGCCACGTGAGTCATCTAACAGGGAGAACTGATGACTGGCAGTGAGGAGGGCGGCTGGCGGGTCCAGCCCCAGTGTCCCAAAGCCGGTTAGGAGCCAGGAGCCCGTAGCCAGATGTACGTGGTCTGTCCGCCAAGGCTGCAGGTGGGGAGCCGGGGCTCAGCACAGGCCAGAACAAAGTCCCGTCAGGTCTTGGGGCGAGTGTGTTCTTCGTGGCCCGTGGCGACAGGCTCCCTGCACACAAACCCTGGCTGCTTTTGGGCTTCAGGGCCTCGGGCGAGCGCTTTCGACATCCTGAGCCTCACTGTCCCCCTCTGTGAAGGGGGTGTCGGGGTGATTCCGTGAGCCCCCAGGCGCGCAGCACTAGGCCATCACCGGCCCGGCACGGGGGCTCGTTACACCGCCCGGCCATCGCCAGTGACCCGCCGTCCTTCTCCCCCGCTCCAGGCTCTCCCCACGCAGCGCCTGGTGGTGCAGGGCACGGCCCCGGGCGGCAAGGGCGGCCAGGTCTCCCTGACGCTGCACGGCACCCAGCAGGTGCACTCGCCCCCTGAGGTAGGTGGTGGCCTCGTTGGCCGCCCTCCCCACGCCTCTCCCCAAGTATTTGTGGGGCTCCTGCCCCCCGAGCCCACCACTCCTCCAGAATCCTCCTTGACCCCGGGGGTGGCTCGGCTGCCCAATCCCTGGCCCTGCTGGCTCTGAGCTGAGTCTGGCTCCAGGAGGAGGCAGCTTCCTGCCACGTCCCCCCAGGTCAGGGTGGGCCTCACAGCCCCAGCTTGGGGCGCTGCATCCCAGGAAGCAAAGCAGCCCCTCTTCCTTCTGCGGGGCAGGTAGAGGCTCCTGCCCCAACCACAGGGTGGGTTCTGGGGACCCCCGAACACCAGCGAGGGTGTTGGAGGCAGGCAAGCTGTGGGTGGCCGGGAGCGAGGGTCGGCATCAGGAGCTCGAGATCAGACCCCCGGCTCAGCCTTTGGTCCTGGGGACCCTGGGCAGGCCCCGGAGCCTTCTGGGTCCAGAGTTTTCCGTGTGTGGAACAGCTAATGATACTGGCCAGCTGTCAGCTCACTGTGGCGTGGCCCTGCCCAGAGCTGACAGCGGCTCTGCAGCCAGCCCGCCTGGGGTCAGCGCCTGGCGCCACCGCTCACCGCTGTGGCCCTGCACACATCCCTTCCCACCTGTGCCTCAGCAGCTCACCTGAAAACTGGGGATCCCCTCACCTGCCCTTTCTACCTCAGGGTTGCGGCCCGTCTGATTATGGAGGCAGCAGGTGGCCCTGGCTGAGGCTGGAGTCCCGGCCATCCTTCCTGGGGAGGATAGGTCCCCCACCAGCACCTCTGGGCTGAACCCCGAGCCTTGCAGGGGTGTGACCGGGGCTGTGGCAGGGACTAGGCACGTGGGTGCACAGACACAGCCGCTTACCAGCTTCGGATGCCCCCACTGGCTGCTGCCCCCCCCGAGACAGCTCTCGGGACAGCCCCGTTGAGAGGGCTGGTCAGGGCCTGGGTGCTCCAGACAACGCTGCGTCTCCTTCTCTTGTAGCGGTCACCGGGGCAGGCCAACAGCTCCTCCAGCAAGACGGCTGGGGCCCCCGCAGGCACGGTGCCACAGCAGCTGCAGGTCCACGGCGTCCAGCAGAGCGTCCCCGTCACCCAAGAGGTGCCAGGCCGAGGCGGGCAGGGCCTGGGGCGGGGGTCCTGGCCAGGCGGCCTCTGCAGCCTCCTGCAGCTGTTGGAGGGAGCTGCGGTGGGGAAGGCCTGTGAGAGCCAGCAGACGGGGCCTGGCCCCTGCTTCTCTCCAGACTCCGCATCCTCGTCTAAATGACGGCTTCTGCCTTGCAGGCCGGGGGCAGGGGGCTGGGGCTGCTGTAAGAATGAAATGCCCGCCTGTCACTGAGCAGGCGCTAGAAGTAGCTTCCAGAAACAACCTTGGCCTCTTTGGGCCCATCTGCCTGGAGGAAGTGCCAAGGCCAAGCCCTGGCTCACCCCCGGGGGCTCAGGGAGAGGCCCCAGCCTCCAAATCCCTGCCCAGCCTTCTGGGGGAGGCCTCCCTCGGAGCTGCCAGCCGTGGCGGCCGGAGCAGGTTAAGAGGCGAGGGTGTCTGCCCTCTGGTTGTTAGCACTCAAGCTGGGGGTTCCCAACCCCTTGGGAAACCAGATGAAAGCCACAGACCCTTCCCCAGAGGAAAGCAGAACCCCACCCCGAAGGATTCGCAGCTATTCTCCTGTCTGGCACCACAGCCCCTCTGAACCTCCAGACCTGGGTTCGAGTCCTGTCCCCAACACTCAGCAAACCCCCCCTCCCCGCCTCTGCCCCACACGCTGTGCCCTGAGGGTAATGCCAGCATCCCCGCCATGGCATGGAAGAGAGGACGGCTGGCAGCGTGGATGTGGGGGTGTCGGACCCCATGTAGGGAGTGTGTGGAGAGCAGAGACTCCCTCAGTCCGGCCAAGTTCAGCTCCCAACTCTGCCACTTCCCCTCAGCCTCGCCATGCTGAGCCTGGTTCCACACCTGTAACCTGGCGCCTGGAGTCAGGGTGGCAATGAACCTGGAAGGCACTGGGTGCGGGTCCAGCAGCAGAAAGCTGCAGACGGCAGCCTCTTTTCTACTGGGCTGCTGGGAGGCTCACATGAGTTCATGTGTGTGGGGGGTGCTGAGTGACAGGCGGGCCGCCAGCATCCCGGGGTCACCATAGCCTGACCTGCCTTTCCCTCGCAGAGGTCCGTGGTCCAGGCCACTCCGCAGGCGCCCAAGGCCGGCCCTGTGCAGCAGCTGGCCGTGCAGGGGCTCCAGCCGGTCCACGTGACTCAGGAGGTGTGTGCCTCCCCCACCGATCTCTGGGCAAACTGGGGCTGGCTGGGCCGGGGAGGGGTGCAGGCCCCTCAGGCCGCAGGGAGGGATGGAGCCACCCCGGGGGTCCTCAAGGGCTCCGCCCCGGCTCCACTTCTGGCGAGGGCTGCAGACCTGGTCCTGGAGCCGTCCGCACCCCGCACCGGGCAGCTCAGGGCCCAGGTTGGCTGAGAGAGAGGTCCAGAGGCCCCGCTCCCTGAGACACGCACGGGGCGGGGATCTTGCGGTCGGGTCGCTGCGTGAGCTCAGCAGCCCGGCGGGCGGCGCGCCCCCGGTGACCCCCCAGTGTCTCTGTTTGTCCTCCAGAGCTCAGGCAGTCAGTTTCCCGCTAGGAAGGCAGAGCAGCGAGAGCCCCGGCCCACGCCGCCGCCAGAGCCGCCGCCCCGGCCGCCCACGCCCGGGCCCGGGCCGAGCGCGCTGGCCCTGGAGCCGCTCCCGCCCGCGTGCCGCGGCCAGGCCCCGCAGCTAGGCAGCCCCGAGCCGCCGCCGCCCCATTACGAGCCGGGCGCCGAGCAGTGGGTGGAGCTGGTGGGCGTGCTGCCCCCGCACCTGCTCCTGCCGCAGCAGAAAGTGGTCCTCGAGCCACTGCCCGGGCTCCCGGCCCGAGCCAGCCCCGACCAGAGGGTCAGGATCCAGAGAGTCCCCCAGGTGCTAGTGTTCAGCACGGCCGCCACGGCCCTCAAAGTAGGTGGCGGACGCACGGACGGGGGGCGACGGGCGGGCGGGGGCGGGATCCGCCGGCCCCGGCCCGCGCCCGGCCCTGGGCTGCCCGTCAGGCCCCGCAGGCCCTGTAGACCCCACCTCCGCCGTGCCAGTCTGGGGACCCGCCTCTGACCCCCCAAATTGGGTTCCAGGTCCCAGGCTTCGCCCCCTACAGACTGGGATGGGGGATGGGGGATCGGATGGGGAACTCGGGCCCCGCCCCTAAGGCCCTGTCTGTAATTCCAGGTTCTGTCCCACCAACCGGGGCCCCACCCCTGGCGCCTGGCTCCGCCCCTAACATCCCGTGCACCTTTCCAGGCCTCGCCCCCGTAGCCCCGGTCGTCCTTGATGGAGGCTCCACCCCTGAGGCCCTGTCTGTTTCCCAGCTCTGGCTTTAGTGACAGCCTCGTCCCAGAGTTTGGCTCTGCCCCTGGGGTCCAACTGTTGCGCCCACAGTAGGACCCTGTCTGGGGTCTCCTGGGCCCGCCTCCCCTCGGTCTCCACCCTTGCTGTCCCCAGCCCAAGCAGAGGGTCCCGGTTTCTCCTCCTGACAGCTCTGCCTGATTCCCAGCCCTGGCCGAGGCCGCAGCCCCTGGGTCTCTGACCGCCTGCCCCGTCCAGGGTGTGTGCAGAAGTGCAGCCTTGCAGCCGGGGAGCCGGGTGTCCGGGCGAGCTGGGGCGGCCGCCAGCCCTTAGAGGCGGAGGCGGAGGAGCCGGCCCACCCCTGACCCTCTGCGTGTTCTTTGTCCTGCGCCAGGTGCAGCAGCTCCCCCAGGTGCCCGTCCCCCACGTGTACTCCAGCCAAGTGCAGTATGTGGAGGGCGGCGACGCCAGCTACGCGGCCAGCGCCATGTGAGTGGGCAGTGTCCCAGGGACCGACGGGGGTGGGGAGGGGCAAGGGGCGCCCGTCTGCTCAGGACCGCCCAGCGGACCACCCGCCTTCAAGGCCTCCAGTGACAGATGGGTGGTGGGCGCTCCGCTGGGGCCGCCAGCAGCCAGCAGGCAGGGCGAGCAGAGGGGACCCTGGCAGGTTGGGGCAGGAGTCCCAAGCATAGCTTAGGGCTTCAGAGTTAAATGGCCTGGGGTTTTTGCAAAAAGAAAATAATTTTTACAAGATAAAAGTTTCTAAGTAATAGAGCATGTTAAATCATGAAAAAGAAATCTCCACTCCGGCCCCCAACTTGCCCCGGAGGGGCTGCTGTGACTCGTTTCTTTGTTTCCTCCCAGAGGTCCTCTGAGATGAGAAACTACCCCCTTCTTTGTTCAGGAACGGAGGTGGCCTGTTCTGTCCCTAATTTCCATCCCCCATCAGATCTCAGAGCTCTTTCCCCCAATGTCCGTTGTCCCTGTGGGTCCCGCTCACCCTCTTTAGCCGCCGCACGATACTCCCTGGGCAAAGTTAGCTCGAACACGTAGCCAGTCCCCACCCGATGGCTTGTGGGTGACTTCCCCTCACACACCGAAGCCTTAGCCCGCTTCATCGGGCAGATGCCGGGCCGGATCCTCCGCACCACCTGCCGCCTCCCGTTCTCCAGAGTAGTAATTCCAGGACTATGGTGGTCGCTGTTTTAGATTTTAGAAGTTTCGTTTGGTTTTCTCTGCATTTGTCTGATTTTTTCCTCATGTCCCACCGCCTGTCCTGTTGGTGTGATGCTGGGAGCGATGATCTCGTGGAGGACTTGGTCCCTGCGTCATCGTGCTGTGGCCCGCCCTGAGGGGCGTGACCCGGCACCTAGGTCATGGGCCACGGCATCCAGCCCCTTACAGTGCCGTCCGTTTCTTCCCAGTGCTGCCAGTCTGTTAGCTGTGTGGTTGACCAGTGCTGGCAGGGACCACCCGGGGCATTCGAGAGGAGGCCAGCCCCTGAGGCTCCCAGGGATGTTAGAAGCAGAGCCACGAGCCCAGGCCTTGGGGCCCCGGGCTGACTCCTGCCTCCCTGGGAGCGTCCGTCTTCACTTCTGATTGAGTTCTTCCCCCCCATGATTACAGTGTGTGTGATCCACACGTGGTCCACGGTTGCCATCACATTCTTCTGCCGGGTGACGTTCTTGGGGACACAGTATCTTCTGTCTCTCCACAAGGTGGATTGTTACCGCGTTCCCAGCCTTTTGCAGCTTAGATCCCTGCCCTGACCAAAGCCACAGCCCCTGGGCCTCTGGCCCTGGCCCTGTGCAGGCCGCGTCCAGAGACCCCACACGTTCATTTACTCAGTCATTCAGCAAATAGCTACCGAAGCAGTGCTTTTGGGGAGCATGTGTTACATGCGGGACGCTGGGCTGTGGTCCTTGCAGGGAGAAGGGAGGGGCACGTGCCAGCACCAACTCAGGTCACGTGCTCTCAGTGTCACTTGTGTGGTAGACGTGGACTGGGGCGCAGTGATCAGGAGCTGCACCTGGTGTCTGACCCGCAGGCAGCCCCCTGGGGTGACCATGCGTCCCGCCACCCTTCCCTCCCCACCCGGGCCCCTCCTTGCTGCCCCCAGACATGGGAAAGCCTTCCTGCCCTGCATCCTTCAGGAGGCTGCCCCAACAGCACCTCTGAGCCAGGCCTCCCAGACCTACCTGCCTCCCTTTCTGGATTTTAAAAGTTTAACATTATGTTTTTAATCACTAATACATTGAAGGGGCTCAGAAATCAAAACTGTCCAACCCCGTCTCCTGAGGCCTCCACCGCCATGGATGACAGATGTAGATACGACGCAGCACCGCCTCCCCATTCTTCCCGGGGCGCCATCCGCACCCTTCCCCGCCTCTTTTGTTCACCCGAGAGAATGTTCTCGAGTTTGTCTTTGGCGGGACCGCAAGACCTTTCTCCTTTCTTGCCCCTGTGCAGGATTCCATCACCCTTGATGTAACAGCCCCCTAAGGAGGGTCCCCAGTCGTTTTTGCTCTCTTGCTACGATTTGCAGCCTTGAGCCTGCGTCACGTGACGCAGGCCTGGGGCACCTGGAGGAGACTTCTCTGGGGCGGGAGAGGCCGCTGTGTCAAAGGGAAACGCAGCTGCACGCTGACCTCCATCCCAACCGGCCCCTGGCTTCAGGAGTGGAGCCCATTTCCACCAGCATGGCCCCCCCCTTTGCCTCCTGGGCACCCCCACCTTCTGCAGTGCCCCCGACTGACCTTTGCACTTGGCTTCTCGTCTCTCTCCCCTCTAGAACCTCTCCAGGGCGGGGCCTTTTCTGTCTCATCCATGTTGGGTCCTCAGTGCCTAGAACAGGGCCTAGCACATAGTAGGCGCTCAATAATTGTTTTTTGTTTGAGCGACTGAGGTGTGTGGCCTATCGCAAGTCACCCAGCCCTTCCGTCTTGGTGTCCTCACGGCCGGGGTGGGGACTCTCGTGTCAGAGGGCCGCTTTGAGGACTCCAGGAGAGCCTGCCCAGCGGGTGGCGGGGGGAGCCTGGTCTGGCGCAGGGGCCGCTGCTGCCGTCCCCTCCTGGGAGCCCCTGCTGGAGCCCGGCCATGCCCCCGGCCCTGCTCCCGCCCCTGACTGCTGCCTCTGCTTCCTCGCAGCCGCCCCGGCACCTACCCCTACCCCGAGACGCCGCTCTACACGCAGACGGCGGGCGCCAGCTACTACGAAGCCACCGGCGCGGCCGCCCAGGTCAGCACACCCGCCACCTCGCAGGCGGTGGCCAGCAGCGGCTCCGTGCCCATGTACGTGTCTGGTGGCCAGGTCGTCGCCAGCTCCACCAGCACTGGGGCTGCGGCCAGCAACAGCGGCGGG